TCTTCTATGACCTCTGTACAGTATAGTCAATTTCTGTGATTTACTACAGCCTCGCTTTCTAGACGGTGAATGACAACCATGGAGGGACACCCAAATGCTGAGTATGAGAAATGTAGAAATAACCTGGCCAGGGAAACCTTGAAAGCAAGGTACATGCTTTTTTCTTTTCTGCTTATAAAGAATTCTAATCAAAATTTAAAATAGGCCTCACCCAATGTGTGCTTTTGTGTTTTATGTGTGGAACCAGCTGGGACCCGGGACTCACTGTCAGGGTCCCAAGTGGGAGCCGGTAAGGGGTGTGGATGGGGGATGGAGGTGGGTATGAATTCGAATTCCTAAGTGCTCTCTCCAGTTAGCAGATTCCAATGTTCCCGTTACAAAGTAACATGGTCACTAGTCTATACAATAAACGAGATTCTAGGTACTAGAATCTCACTAGTCTAAATAGTGTGCATTGATATGACTTTAATTAATGAAATGCAGAATACTGTCTCAAGAAACAGCCCCGCTGGACAGCTTACTTATAAAAGGAAGGAATACATTTTCATTCCCCTATCCCTACATCTCCACCTCCATTATTCTTTGTATACAGAGGAAACGGGGACCATGGCTGAATGGGGCTGCATGTTTGGGAACGGAATGCCAGCGTCTGAAGAGCCTAATGCAGAAAGAGCTGGAGTACTGTCTGTCAACAGCATGGCTCCCCTAATGACCATGTGACACCTATTTTGCACACCCTTCACCTGCATTCAACACTGAGCAGGTTCTCTCCAAAGCAGGTCACACAGGGCTTCACCCCATTGAGGGAAAGTGCAACGTGACACTCCTCTTGGCAATTTTAGCCCCATCCCATGCAAAGGGAATGAGGTGAAAGGAGGGGAGAGGGAATAAAAGCTGTGCCTGAGGACACTTGCTGATCCTGACACATGTTCTAATCACTTTGCTTAAGTGGCTGACAGAACCCACTATCTTAACACACTTTCCCGCTAGCAGAACAACCTACCCTAAGCACTGGAGTAGGAAGTAACAGTTTTGGAGACACAGAATTCAATGGTCAAGGCTGAGGCTGCAAGACTCCTCAGATGTGAATGATGTGAAAACAAATCAACTGTGATTTCTAATAACAGAATGGGCTGTTACAGCCTCGTATGCCTGCCCATGACAGACAGAGTGTGTGGCTCTCCTTTAAAAATCACCTGGACGGGGGCGCCTGGGTGTCTCAGTGGGTTAAAGCCTCTGCCTTCGGCTCAGGTCATGGTCTCAGGGTCCTGGGATTGAGCCCCGCAACGGGCTCTCTGCTCGGCGGGGAGCCTGCTTCCTCCTCTCTCTGCCTGCCTCTCTGCCTACTTATGATCTCTATCAAATAAATAAATAAAATCTTTAAAAATAAATACAATAAACTAAAATCACCTGGATATGAAACATTTCGATGAAGAACCTCAAAAGCAAGCCTTTATCCACTGACAACCTATTGTACTGTTCTAGATACTCGGGATAATGGAAGAACCACCAAGATTCCCACCGTCATGGAGCCTACAACCTAGCAGAGGGAAGATACAACCCATATCAACGTGGGAAGTAAATTCTATAGCCGGTTAGATAATAAATGGTTTGCAAAAGCAGAGGGGCAGGTCACCACGTGAGATACGGTGAGCAGAGCCAGCCTCCATGAGAAGATGGGAGCAGAGGGCAGAGTAGGTTGCCCAAAGGATGTGTGAGGAAGAGCTGGCCAAGGGGAGGAAGGAAGCACAGCCCCGAGGCGGGAGGGGAAAGGACACAGTATCAGAAGGCACGCTACCTCTCTCGAATTTTGACTTCATTTGTCATCACCACTTGCCAGCATGAAACAGCGACGCAGCTCATGTTTACTGAATGACTTTGAAGGCGGTAAGTACAACAATGTCCAATGAACAAATGCAATTCAGTCGACAGGCTGGGCTTCCTAAGAGGCTACACGCAAAACGCACCGGGGGAAGGCTTAGCAGATTTTCAAATGAGTTTCAGAAGCTCAACTTCACAGCTTTATTTCCAGGAACACTCAAGGAAAAGTGGAAAAGTGGCTTCTACTATGTAAGGAGCAATCCCTCACACAATCTACTTGTGGCCAGAGTCCAATCACAACCTTCTTTGAAGGAGGGAGAAGGCTGCAAGAGGAGGAGACAAGAACCACACAATTAGCAGGCAGGCAGGCAGGCAGGCAGGCGTGAACACCCTCTGTCTATCCCCTGCCTGTGATGGGGAGTGCCAACTCTCCCAGTGACATGGTCTCAACAGGACACCTGCATGGACCTCAGGCCTCAGAGGTAACCTTCTAAGTAAAACAAAGAAAGTCAAACACAAAAAACAGGCTACATCAAGTATGCGAAGTAAAAAAAAAAGTGCTAAATGATTCAACTACAGTAAGAAAAGAACCATCCTCTCACTGCTCCACAGGGTGTCACTGTAAAGGCTTCCAAATAAACAACCACATGGGCAAAAGAAACCAGAATCCGATAGTTCCAACATACATGTTTGCCTTTACAATTACCTTCCTTATCAATGTGACAGGCAACCAGTAGGAGCTACTGAGTCCTCATTTCAGACAAATCCTATTTTTTATTTATTTATATTAGAAGATTTTATTTATTTATTTGAGAGACAGAGAGAGAGCACAAGTAGGAAGAGCAGCAGGCAGAAGCAGGCTCTCCGAAGAGCAGGAAGCCCAATGTGGGGCTCGATTCCAGGATCTTGGGATCATGACCTGAGCAGAAGGCAGACCTTTAATCCACTGAGCCACCCAGGTGCCCCTTCTATTTAAATGAGAACAGAGGACTAACATTTCTGGGAAACCTAATGTTTATTACTACACTCCCCTCACAACCTCCCCTAACTCCCTTTTCAACCTTTTAATTACTTCTAATTTCTCATTTATATTTAGGCCCACTCTTTCTAATACCTGAATGCACATTATCATGGGTTTCTTTCCTAAATTCTGCTAAAAATCTTCAATTACTCTACCTTTTCATGTGTTACAAAGAAAAAAGAAAAGGCTGTGAAAAATCTCCATTGTCACTGCATCACCTGAGAAAGAAAGCATTATAAAATAGTTTAGGACCTAAAAAGAGAAAATCATTTTACTTATAATGAAAGTTATACCTAATAGCAATTATCAAATGCAATTTTGCCTAGAAATTATTTTTACAAAATCTGTATGTCACTAATCTTGACAAGATGCCCCTTCTTTTCACCTTTTAAATAATCTTCTCTAATCCAACACAGATACTTGTAGGATTCTGTCATCTTTTGTATTCTGGGAAAATTAAATTTTTCCTTTGGAATCAGCCTAGTTTAAGTGTTTTTTTTTTTTTTTTAACTTAAAAAATAAACAGCTAAGTTAAAATACATAGTCTGGTGTGGGGGGAAAAAAAAAAAAAACCCTCGTAACGTATACACCCTCAATCTGCTCAATGAAATGCAATGGTTGAAAAAACTGTATCTACATATGCAGTCAAGGTTTTCTGACTTACCTGTGAAGAAAAATTTAATTTTGCTTTTCAACTGTAGGGTAAAAGATATTTGGACATTGTTTATAAAGTTCGGTATCACGTTCACCCAACAAGTATCCCTTTTGGGTCGGGGAGGGGGAGGAAGGGGCACGTGCCCCTTCAGGTATCTCTAGGCAGGGATGCTTGACTTTTATAAAAGATTCCCTGTCGTATTATGACCCAGTGCTAAAAGGCAGGACTTTACCTTGCATTCTGCTCCTTTAACCCCATGTTACCTCATTTTTTTTTTAATTTTTATTTATTTATTTGACAGACAGAGATCACAACTAGGCAGAGAGGCAGGCGGGGCTGGGGGTGGGGGAAGCAGGCTCCCTGCTGAGCAGAGAGCCCGATGCGGGGCTCTATCTCAGGACCCTGAGATCATGACCTGGGCCGAGGGCAGAGGCTTAATCCACTGAGCCACCCGGGCACCCCTGTTACCTCATTTTTAAGTGCTATAAAGAGCCAGCTTAAAGAAGGCAGAAGAGTATCAGAATCCCTCCCAGAAACACACTGTAATACCATGGGCAGTTCTACTTCACATGCAACCGCTGCGGGGTTTTGGGGGCGGGGGGGACTCTTTTAAACCTACCTTTCCAAACCCTTCTCAGTCTGAGAAGAAAAAAAAAATTATGAGGGAAAAAAAGGCTTGAAATTTACTAACAAGGAAATGAGTATTTAACAAAGGTCGAAACAGCAAAGCTGAGCAAAGGGCCTGTCTCTACTTGACACTGCACAGCAGAAAAACCTTCAGTGACCAGCTGTGCACAAAGCTCGAGCGTGGCCCATCTCCAATAATAAACAAGGAGTGGGTTTTGAATCAAGGTGGTTTCCATTTAAGAAAAGCATTCAGTAATTTTTTTCCCCCTCATGATGGCCAAGCACACTAGAGGCAATAGTGCTAGGAAATGGACCTGCTGTGAAGGGAGAAAACTCCCTCTCCACCAATACTGAGTATGGGATTAGGCGTCAGCTAAAGCCACTGTGTTTCTGGAGAGGAAACCAAGAGGGAGACACCAGGTTATAAATGCTTTCTTCCCTGCTGAGTTCTGTGGTCACTTTATTGCTTTCGACATTTTTCCATACACGTTAAATTAACGTTAAATATACTGACTTACCCTCTACCTTCCCCTAATGATTATTTAAATATATTAATACCAATTACAAGAGGAAGAAGGCAATGTGTTTAATTCCATGGCAACTATAATAACAGGGTTTAAAGATGCTTACGAAACAGGTTCTCATCTACCATCCCATCTCCCTCTTTTTACAACGCTCTACCCCACAAACACAAATTTCTAGTCTTGTAATGATTGACCAACTTTTTATATACCAAGCATAAATTCAGATAAAACTGCCAAAATGAGTCCTTCCCTGAGGACAACAGCCCAACATAAATCTCAGGCTTTTCCTTAAAAAAAAAAAAAAAAAAAAAAAAAAAATTGCCATAAAAAGCAATCACTTAGGAATACTGACCTTGCTGTTGTTCACTATCTGCTTCAGCTTTTGAAGAACCTGGTGCAACAGGAAGGGGTCGAGGTGGTCGGGGCTTTGGTGTGGGAGGCGAGATTCTTTTCCTTCCAATATATTCAACATAAGTTCCCGGAAAGTCCCCTCTTTCCCCCGTGGTTTCATTATAACCATTTAACCAGCCGATTTCTTCAGGCCTGGCTTCCTGTCCGTCACTGAATCCAAGAGCTACTAAGGACCCTTTATTCACAGTCAAGACATCACCCAAGTGCAAGTCAATATCTTCATCCCGTTCCTTTTTGTAATCATACAGTGCTCGGTACTGGTAGCCCTCGGCACTCATGGTGGCGAGTCTGGGACCATGCAACAGAGCAGTCCTCCCGCTGCAGTCTGGTCTTATGATTCTGTAGAAAGCGAATTCAGAGTGTAATTTAAGATTCCTAATACGTGTCCAGGAGAGGACAAAGGACAACTCTCCAAAGGTTTAAGAGGAGAGGCGACTGGCTGTCCGGCTGTCCATCTGTCCTCCATCAATGGTATGACTGAAGACAGGGTGCCACTTCCTCTGCGGCCCACAGTCCTCCCACTGGCTTCCTTTTCAGCAGCTCGTCAACACTTGGCCTCCAGGCTGATTCTCGCAGCGCGGCCCAATCCTTTCTGACACTCTTGTCTCACTGTCCATCTGGCGTCTGATTTGACTGTGTCACTCCACACGCGAGCTTCACCTAGCAGAGGAAAAACAAGACTTATGAATGAACATCACACTTTGCCATCTGTGTGAATTTGAATTTCTATTTCCATTCAACAAGTATTTAATCAATTTGGCATACACACTCGGGCCAGCGTGCTATTGCTCAACATGATATATACAACAAGGTTAGTGAGACAGTCCCTGCCTTCCAAGAACACTAGGCAAGGGTGGGAGGTGTGCTGGCATGTGGCAATGTCTCTCAGATAAGAACGGGACACAAGGAACCGTAACACTAGGGAAAGTGCAGAAGACAGGCAGAGACGAAACGCTGCTGGGTCCTGGCGAGGGAGAAACCGCGTCTAACTGCAGGGATCTAAAGACACAATGGAATGCGTGGCATGAACTTAGGTACAGATGTGACTAAGCAAATGTCCTATTCTGGGAAGAGCTAGAACAGGCAGTCCAAAGCGTCTGAAGCCAAAGAGGGAACACTAGAACTGGATTAGAAAGACAGGGAGGGGTTATGTGACATGACACATGCCTGCACTGAGCTTGGGGCGGGGGGTACTCGAGAGCTACTGAAGACGTTTAGAGAAAGGGGAGCAACACCATGAGAGAGGGGCACTTGAAGAATCTCGGTCCAACTACGGCAAATGGGACGGATGGGCAAAAGGGATGAAGCGGGGAGGATGAAAGCTGAACTACCATGGTGTGGGCGAAAGGCCCCAAGCGTGTGAACCAAGGTGGCAGAAGGTAGGGAAGGGCGGGGATGAAGCAAGAGACACTGCAGAGAAAGCACGAGTGTGGTGGTGATGCTTGAATCAGAGTCAAGACGGAACAGGAGCAGAAGGCCAAACCGGAGTTAACTCCAGTGGGCTTTAGGGAATGCTGGGAATACAACTGCTAGTGTGGTGGGGCTCAGGGGCAAACCCAGCCTCTGATTCAAGAGAGGGAACCCGCTCCAGATATGATCAGCTGCAAATAAGGTGAGACTGAACTCAGTGGAAGGGAGGAGCTCCCAGGGAAAAAAAAAATATCGGAGGTTAAAAAATGATCCGAAGCTCAAACACACTGGGGTTCGCTGAAAGCAGCCTTAAAAGCAAAGTCAAGGTTTGGAGACAGGCTCTGTCGGTCTTACCTGGGAAACAATGGACAAGAGGATTTGGGTGGGAAAAGGTGATCTCTAAGACCAAATCCTGCAGGGGCCTCCAGCAGGGGGAAAGTGAGGCAAGGCTAGGTAACCCGGGGCTCTGCATCACCCTATGATCACTGACTTCTGAGAAACCAGCTGCCAGTCTACAGACATCGAGGACAGTCTGAGAATTGAAGGAGTTAAGAGCCTGGAGAGGAAGTAGAAATGGTTGCCTGAGATTACCCTGGAAAGACAGCCTGGTGCAAGGGGAAACCAGCAGTGCAAGTTTTTGCTTTTTTTGTAACATAGTGGAAGCAGAGGAATTAAAGACTCTCTAGAGAGAAAGTCAGCACGTGGCCTGCCAACAGCACAGGGCGTTCATGTACACACTTTGCACTCCGGTCACTTCTCAGCACTATCTTCATTATCAAAAGTAGAAGCAACTGAAAGGTTAAAGTTAACGCTGGCTGAGTAGCAAAGCAATAAAACGAGCGCCACATAACATCAGCGTGCTGTATCAAAGAGAGCTCCGTGAGTTTTAATGCGGGGGCCACTTGAGAAGTTCAGTATTACAGGAACTCGCCAGTGTGTGCATCTTAATATGCAAAATCTAATCACAGCTCACAATGCTGGTATTCAGAAGTGTCAAGTATTCAACTTTATGTGGTTAGAGACTCTTCGTGGTAGTACAGTAACACTCTTAGGAGAGTTAATATTAAAAGAAGCAAAAACAAACACTGGAAACCTTCGAGTAGTAAGAATACTAATTTGAGATAGTAGTCTTAACTTTGCATTTCAGTCGTCAGATTAAGAGAAAAAAAAAAAAACTAAAGCAACTAGCATGGTGTATTAGAAAAATAAACTGTATTATGTTTGAAGACCACCTCTCCGTTTGATGGATCCGGAATCAAATTAAATATTCACAGCAGAAATTCACACAAAAATGTAGGACTAGCAAATCTCATTTTTAGTACTAATGTACTCTGTACAAATGAGACACAGAACTCTAAGGAACATGAAAATTTACATATCCCTAAATGCCTGGAAACCAGGCAACATGCCTAAGAATAATTTAATTCCTCCAAATCTGCCTTGAAATTTTTGTTAGCTTTTCCTGGCAATGTAGGTCTTTTTGGGGGGGGAAAATCCTCAACTAGTACGTTGGATAGATCTTTCCACCAGCTGCTGCCTATGGCTTGTTCTATTTCAACAACCAGTGGGCCAGTTTGGTGAGATTCTTAACAGAATGGGGAATATTATATCCACCCCCTTGTTTTCCCTTTCTCCCTCTCTCCCTGTCTGTCTCTCTTCATTACTCCCTTCCCTACACAGTCCTCAGCAACCACCGGGGCCCCTGGTCACAGCACGCCTCTGCAGATATGCAATGGTCCTGAAGAGGAGACACCATACTAAGAGGCCCCATGACGGGTCAAGGTTTTACCAACCTGAAAACTATGCTTATGTTAGCCTGAGGCTAAATCTGTGCAAAAAGTAAAAGAACCCCAAGGAACCTGATGACTGAGCGTAGCAATCCCCAACCCAGGTGCCAAAGACCTTGATGTCTCTACTAATTCCCAACCCTCACTGTTTTTAAAAGGAGAAACTTAACTTGCTGTGTGAGAAGAGCTGTGCAGAATTCTGGGTCTTCGTCTGATTCAAAAACAAAACACAAAACAGAGCGCCTGGGGGCTCAGTAGGTTAAGCCTCTGCCTTTGGCTCAGGTCATGATCTCAGGGTCCTGGGATAGAGCCCTACACCGGGCTCTCTGCTCAGTAGGGAGCCTGCTTCCCCCTCTCTCTCTGCCTGCCTCTCTGCTACTTGTGATCTCTCTCTGCGACATAAATAAAATCTTTAATAAATAAAAACAAAACAAAACAAAACCAAAAATCAACAAAACCCTCATCTTCTGTGATGCTAGGATTATAAGAACACACCACATTCCTGTCTTCTGGGATTCCACAACATCAAGGCCAGGAAGACCAATCCATACAATTCAAGGTTGGCCAAAAGTTGGCGCCCACTAAGCAGCTGGAGAGCAACGTTGTAAGAGAAGAGCGAACACTGACTAGTCATCTGGGCGGCAACTGGACAGTGTCCTGTGGCCCAATGCACGGCAGCCTTGGCCGGGGAGAAGGGGCGGGCACCTCAACCCCCACGCAGGCGGCATACTTTCTCCTGACAGCCACACCCATTTCGAGGACTGTCACTGTCATCATGGTCATCACGGGCATCCTCTAACACTTATTGGGAGTTGGATGTGTTATTAACTTACTCAACCATTGCCACCTAATGTTCACTAGGAACTACGCGTGCATCAACATGGTCGCTCTTCTCCATAACCCCAAGGCAGCACTATCAATAGTCTCACTTTGCAGAGGAGGAAACTGAGGCACAGAGAATTGAGTACCTTGGCCATGGTAACACTCAGCAACTGGGAGCTGGAATCCCAGTTCACCTTCTAGCCTTCTGGCTCCAGGGCCACGATTTTTGACAGCACTAGAACCTACTGCCCAAATTCAACATGCTTTGCTGACCGAGGACAGCCCAGGTATGTCCACAGGGTCAACGATGCAGATTCTTTGCCGGCACATTCTGACCCCCTGAGATTAATCCCGAATGTCTGTTTTTTATTTACTCTCTGTGACAGTGGCCTCACTGATAGTGTTGGTGGTTCTTTTACAAACACACCTGACCAAAAAAAGCCACTACAACTTGGCAAGAGTTCCATCAAGTTCAGGACCCAGTATCTTGGACAATGCAAATTTTCTTGCAAAGAGACTTCAGTAAAATGCATCCTTGCCAAAGAAATCTATAGACTAGTGAATGAGAGAATACTGGACACAAACTTCTGGAAGGCTGCCCACTTCTGGAATCCTGCCCACTTCTGCTCTATGAGCTGAAGCTTCTGCCACCTGTATCCCTCTTGGCATCTATGCCCTCTATGGATATCCCAGGCCCCTGACTACACAATTTCTAACAACTCAGCTCCTCCCTAGGGGAATACATGGAACATTAATCCATAGTCACATAACTATCTTACCTAGACAACAAGTTCTTTTTTCTCTTACCCTCACATTCTCCCCAGGACTGCAGAAGACTCAGCAGCCTGAGACACTGGCAGCATCTCTGTCATGTAACCCTCCTAGGATCAATTTGGAGCTGGAACTGCTCACACATCAACAGGATATATGCTGCCCAGATTATAAGACTACGCCTCCGATCTCTTTGGCTACATTCACCAGTCCAGTGAACTATTTCCACCTAGCTCCAACACAACTGTTAACACAGTACAGGTTTTATAGGTGGGTAATACGCACCCATCTATAATTTAATGTTTTCAAATAAGCAATGCAATTTTATGATCTAGGTGCCAAGCTAGCGCATAAGTAAGTTACAGTAACAAAAGATATAAAGGAATTTTATAAACAAGTAACTAACTTATTCTTACAAAATATTGCATGCAGCAGTTCGAAATTTCTTTGATGGTAATTACCGTGTTCCAGTCTTTCGACCCTTTTAAAGACTGCCCACCTACAACACCACTAATCGATGTATATTTTCTCTCTTTGCTAGGATACTGCACAATTCCCATTTTGTTCTCCAAAATAAAATTGTGTCTGATGCCTGACAATCAGCAACCCATGACTTCTTAATGTAGAAAGGCCTGAATGCAAACTTTCAATTTAACCCTATAACCCACAGGTATTCTGGCAAAGAACCAAACAAAATTCTTTGAAAAGTCCTCTGACTGTGCTGACTTACTCATTCCCCTTTTACAAAGGACAAGGATTTAGCAAACGTGGTGAGGAGACAGGAATATAGGGTATTTTTAAATCACTTGAAGTAAATCAGGATACGCCTGTGATTCAATGAGCCGTTTGCCACTGGGTCCCAGCACACAG